ATCAAGCACTACATAACATCACAAGGACTCAACAGCACCAAGCAAGTAGATCAGGATTGCATAAGGCAGTGGCCAATCAAGTAGGCAGGAAGGCGATCAAACACATGTCACTATAAGGCCAAAAAATAAATATGCATGTTTCCAACTACACAGGCAACGTACAGCAGGCAGGGAGCATTGCATGCTTCCAACCTCACACACAATGTCCCGTTGGCAAAGAACATTTTTTGTATAGAACGAGGTAACGTTTCATGTGAAAATTCACACTGATATCTTATAATGTCAGTGTTCATGATAATCATGACAATTTGCCAAGAAACTTGAGTAAGAGCATTTTATCCTTTGTGTTAATTGTAGTGTCTCACTGTGTGTATATCCTTTAAGCCAAATTGATACGTTCGGTTACAAATGACTGCTTGTGGGGTGAAGGGCACTTTAGAATGAGACAAAAGTAAAAGGTAGGTTGTATAACATACTGGATGGCTGCTACATGAATCTTCCATTTCATTTAGTAACTTTAGACCTGAAGCAGGACAGCAACTGGGAAATTAACCCTTGCAATGACACTGCCGATTGACTATAGCTATTTGAAGTTTGGTTTGTGCTGGGGTAATTGGAAAGATGCATATAGCTTCTTCTTTTTAATTTTTTTTAGCCTAAGCATCAATTAATTCCAAGTCAAACTTATAGCTCCACCAAACACATTAGTACAGTTCAAAACCTATAAACAGCATGCACAATGAATCTGGACGTGCATGTCCCTCAGCATGAATCTGGACTTGCATGTCCCTCAAAAAGATAGTGAGCAAAAGGTTCCAATCCCAGTTAGAACAGGCCTTAATATATTCCATGCATGAATAAATTCCCAATGTAATACAACTCCCTCCCCCAGCTTGCAATCAATCCTGTTAAGCAGTCACCTGCATTCAATAGTCTGTTTCCCCAATCCTATCATTTCGGCAGCAGCATGTCTCAATGCAAGTGAAGCCTTCATTAAGCAGTCGCATATTATTATGGGTCACGGTTGCACACTACTGTAGTTATAATGATCCCTTTTGCCCTGTTTTGATGAGTAAAACCTGCAAATTTCCACTTTTATTAATACGAAAGCACATACTACATAATACACCTCCCTCTAGTCACCCAACCATGGAAATAATTAACCTGAATTAAGAGGCCACTAAGTTTAAGCACCCGGTTTTGTTGGATCTGGACAGTGGCCATTTAGTACAGGCTTTGTATTTAGTTCTTGCTAGTTCTGTAAGAATACATCATTCTAACAAGACTTTAATTGCAGCAGTTACTTGTATGCAAAAGCTTGTGGGTCTATCCAAACTATAACACATCACATGCTGACATTGTTATTTAGGGCTATAGTGACACAGTATTATAAAAATGAATTCAAGAAGAATATTAAATACTTCTGTTATAGACAATGGTTTCCTGTGTTTTTGTGTTTATCTTAAAAACAGTAGGTTAAAAACATCCTTTTTAAATTACAATGTTGTTGTTTAGTACAATGTACACAAATTAGTTGCTCAGTACCAGTTTAGAGAATGATTTTCACCTTTGGGCAAGAATCATTAATAATTCAGCCATGTCTTTTTTCAATCTATTCCTTATTATCTTCAATTAAATGGCAATAGTCCTCAGTAAGGGCCACAGAGTCACAACAAGAGACTGCTCACCTCTGATGTGGCCAAATGACAGACATTTCTCTCCAGAGTGTCATATGACTGAATAGCAATAACAGTTGGCAATATATGAGTATCTGACACTATCTAGTTCAAGGATGCAAATAAACCAAATATGTTTCCCACTAAAGTCTGGCAAGTGCTGGCATACAAGTGATTAGTTGCAGTGAAATGTTTCACAGCAGTGTTAGGAAGTGAATGTGTTGATTCAGTGCTGTTTGCCTGCATACTAAGTAAGTTTGCCAGTATAATATATCAAAAAAGTCAATTTTCACTGACATTCACACATTTTGAATATGTTACCAAAATGAGAAAAGTAGACCCCCTTTTTGTCAAGACCTACTTCATGTTGACTTCTACATTTTCTATGGAGAGTTAAATGGACAGTATCCCTTTTATTGGCATATCTAGGCTGCTTTTCCCTTAGGTTTGTACAATATTCATGCATTATGTTCAAAATAATGACAACATGGAGTGGATACGTTCCAAAAATGTTAACTGTAGGCTCAAAGGTTTGGTGTTTGTCCATTTTCATTTACAGTCTAGTTATGCCAAAAAAGGATATTGCCTTTACAACTGCATAATGCACTATTAGTTTTGGTTATATTCACAACATAGCTTCAGTCAACATGGAGGACAACTATGGTCATGACTATTAAATTCTTCTAACTTTTTATTCAAATGATATAATTTCAATAACAGTAACAAGAATGTGTTTCACATCCTTTTGGATGTGCTGCACATTGAAAACATGCAACTAATGGGAAAGTCAACTACAAGGTAACCAAATATTGTGATACCTTTACAATGTCTAATAAGTCTTAAAGAAATGATGATTTTATTTTAGATAATAGGGTAGATATCCTGACTTTTTGGTCACCATGTATTATGACGAAAATCAACCATTGGTTGCTAATATTATTGTTGCTGTTCATAATGTATCCCATAGACAAAAGTGGAACTCCAGAGTATTATGCCAAACATATTAAGACAGATCCCATTTGACGCTCAACTCAAGGACTCTTTAACCAGATTGAGAAGCTTACTTGAATTATTTCAAGGTGGGTGAAGCAAGTAAATAGAGATGTCATGTTTTAAATGATTCTGAGAGATAAGAACATGCTATCTAAGACATTATTATAATTGGCCTGTTTGTCTTCTGTTTTTGGATCAAGCATTTTAAGTAAAGATTCATCTTGCTGTATATTTTTGCTATTTCAAAGGAAAATACTTAGATGGAAGAAATGACAATCTGAGGTTCCTGAGAGAACATTGATACTATTTCCATTTAATAAGTTCCAAAACTATTCTACTTGCAGTCAATTATATGATTATGACACTTGTATAATTAGCCATGCAACATAGGTCCTATTCATGTATAATGTTTGAACTTTATTGAAGCATTCATCTTCTGCAAATTCCGTTCCTCTATAGTGAGCTTCCTAAGTCAGAAATGTTCTTTCAAATATTTTGCTTAATATAAGAACCCAGTTTACTGGGTTCATAGTGTACAGGACTGATTGTTTTTTCTGCTTGAGTTGTACTGCAACAAAGCTTGATGTCCTTGATACAAACTCCATTTACAGTATTCCTCAAATGAAAATGGAAGGATGAACTTAAATATTAAATAAAAGGCTTTACTGGAAGTATAGATAACTGATACAGTATTCCATCAATTTATTACCTGCACTCTCTGCTGAAATTGCTATTGGAGTACAATTGCTATAGCAATTGGTGCTCATTTAGCCACATCAACAAGTGGATTAAAACAATTGTGCAACTAAAATTTTCTACAGCTCTGCCTACTTGGCATTTGGGACTTGCATTCGGTTTGCTACAGTGAAAATGACAATGGATTTATTAAAAATACTTTCAGATAAAGACTCAAATTTGCGGTTGGATTAGGGTTACAAACATATGAATAATTCATAAATTAATTATATTAAACTATTTCTCCAAAGGAATTTAAACTGTAACCATGCTGATTATTTCTTAAATATATTGGTTTTTTTTCCACAGCTAAACTCACACCAATAATGGAAGTGACATTATTTTGTTATTTTGGAACAAAATGAAGTCTACAGATTCAGTTAACTTTTTCACAAGATGTGGATTCAGTGTTTGTATTTTGGCCTTGATTAATGTTTAACTTGACAAAATATATTAAGATCCCTACAGCCTAAGTAATTCTTAAACCATCAACAAAGTGAATGAAATATTGTTCACTTGTGGCACTAAATAAAAGCTTGTTTATTTTTTTTTAAAAGTTCACATCGCTCCAAGGTTTTAGTGAAGAAATCGATCCAAACCAGTTAGTAACAAAATAATTCAAATTCCTTCATTTATCAGTAAATATGTCTTGTGTTTAAAAAAACAAAATATTTGAAATGTAATGGAAACAGATCCTTCTCTAACTTGTATGCAATAATTTGTCAGTGTGACTCAGTGACTTTTTCTGATTTATTTTACCACGTTGATCCCATTCAAGGTGGCTGTCAGCAAATGACACACAAGAGGTCATGTTTATTTCATAAAAAGTGCAGACACATAACATGAAGATTCTCGATGCCCATTAAAACTAAAATGTCATTATTTGTGACAATGTAATAGACTCTAAAACTACACTTGCAACCAAAACTAAAAACAAAAATTAAACTTCAGAAACAGCTTTTATTAGCTGAACTGAGTTGTCCCCCTGTATTTCCTACCAGCCTTTTCCCACAAATACACAGTCACCACACTTTGAAGCACTTTCAGTTGGTTTCATGTTGTGATAAGGTATTATTTCAAATAGTAGGATTTATATTATTAATGATAATGGATTTTAAATTTGTAAATTGAAAATGCAGCTTAATAAGGGCTGTGCAGTTGAAGAAACATGTAAAGATGTGTAACCTAACCAGTCTGAGTTAGGTGAATTATTCAATTTAAATAGATTTTCAGTTGGGAAACAATAATATTCTCAGCACAAATAGAATATATGAACAGATTAATACAGGCAAAGGAAGAGAACATCCAATACCTGATCCATTGACAAACTTCTCTCGTGCCTTACATCTACAAACTTCAAATTGCTTAATATTGCCTATTTTTGTTCATGCTGTCTATAAATTGTAATTGTTTAGCTGCTGTCCCAGTACACCAGCTATGAACTCATGGCTTTGATTTTGCTAATCAACTGACCAGCACGGGTGTTAAAATGAAAGAGAACATTAAAATCTATCTGGTTTTAGTTACTGAGAGATGTGTATGTTTGTTTTGTGTGGTGCGATTCTTTGCTTCAAGTCATTTTTTTCTGACATCCAATTGACCACAAACACAAACCTTTATTTCATCTTGTAAGATAGTTTACAGGACATCCCAGACACGCTTGAAAGTTTGTTTTACAATGTGTTCCTACCCAGCTAACTCACACAGATAACTAATAGAGTATTCTCTTTTGGCATTGGGTAACATGTTTTCTTTCTTAGTTGTTGAGCAAACGGGGTGCCAGAAGAGGTGATAACGTAGGAAAGGTTTGAAGAGAAACTTAAGAGAAGGGGTTAAGTAATAACAGAATAGTGAAGGTAGTTTCTACTGAGAGGGATGAGCAATATTTTGGGCAGTTGCAACAATGAATATTGTAACAAAGTAAAATTCTGTCCATTTATTCACTAATAATCTGTAAGCAGATCTGGTCAGAGGATAATGAGTGTTGGTAGCTGGTAATAGATCAGATTATAAGGAAATCATTCTCTACATTCCCAAACAAAAAATCAATGGGATTTTGTGTGATTGTAACTTTCTTCATGATCAGTCCTCAGCTTGGACTATAATTGGGCATTAATATGATTTTAGGAACTCATTTTCACCAAGAAAGTGCATGATCCAAATGGGTCTGCCGATGGTTCTGACTAAAGGTCATCAACCTGAAACATTAACTGACTTTCCTCTCTCCATAGATGCTGCCTGACCTGCTGAGTGTTCCCAGCGAATTCTGTTTTTAATCCAAATGGGTGATGGCTTTTAGACTGAATTCATCTTCAGAGATAAAGAATCATCACTTTCTCACTCCGTTACCGATGTAGAAGTTCAGTGAACTTTCTGTGTCTGCCATGCTTGTTATGTGGCATAATGTTCCCGTCTTTGGAAGGATGAGAGGACCTGTAGTTAAGGCAGCTATGTGAATCTGTTCTCTTGAAATGTATACTGCAGCATTTCAGTGCATGATAGCAGTTGTGTCAATGAAATGCACATTTTCTTTCCCCCAGAATGCATGAAGTAAATTGAAGTGTGAAATGTGAGTTACTGAGAAAGTGTTTCAAGTTTCTGTTGTAATATCTACACAGACCATATAAAAACAATGGTAAGAGATTGGTATTTTAGGTAATGAGAGACTTGTTACAATTTTTTAAAATTCGGATAATTCCCAAACAAGTCTATGTCCAAATGTTTGAGCATCTTTAGGCATACTAGTCTGGAGTTGCATTTTTATCTGTGGTGTAAAAGATCACAGAATAAGAGAGACAGAAACCATATGCAAATAGGGTCCAACTCATGCAATAATCCCAAATCAGTTATTCTTCAACTACCGAATCCTAAATAATCTGAGGTGTATGTACTCTGCCACGTTTATTTAGCTACTTATTTGATCTCTTCTCACAAAATCTCCTGGATCTTTTACTTTTGAGGTGGAGTTTCCTCCTCTTGATTGTAAATGGAGGAATATCCCATTTTTTAAATTAGATGTGTTTCCTGCTAGTAACAAAATAGTTTGGAATACCTTGGAAATTCTGTGATGAACAAAGGATTGCTGCAAAGTACAGAGAATGGTAAATCACACCATGGCAAGAGGTCACTTAGCCTTCTGGCAGTGGATTGTTGTTGGTTAGAAAATCAATACATCCCCTGTCCCTTCAAAGCACAATATGTTTCTGCCAAAGGTCATGCAACAAACATCAGTAGAATATGTCAAAGGTTATGAGACATTGATGTAATTATCACATATTTATGTTTCACTGGGTCAACTAAAATCCAATCTAAAGTAAGTTTCAGTTAATTTGATTACAATCAAACATCGTCGGTTATTCTATTCTATTAAATGGAGATTATGTTTGAGATAAATAATAACCCATATTTAGGGTCAAAATGAGGCCTTACCCACCATTAATTGGCACTTTGCTTTATTCTCAAAACAAATGCTAGATTTGTTCCCATCACATTTAAAGAATACCATTTTCACTTACATTTTTACTTCTTAAAAGAACATTGCACACAGTGAAACAGAGAGCCAGAGAAATTTGTACAGTGCAAGAATTCCATGATGGTCATCAAAATGCCATAACAACACCAAGAACATTTAAATTAAGCCACACTGTTTGACTGGAAAACTTTCCCGCCTTTAGCCATATGGGGAATGATCCACACGTCAAAGGGGAGAGCATAGCTGGGATCGGAGAACTTGCATCTTCAGGCATTTTCCTCAGCATCCTTGCTTCCATCACCTTTAACCTCTTCATGTTGGACACTTTCAGAGAGTTTTGTTTCTTCCGCAGAGTCTGTAAGAAGAAACATTTGTTTCACTTGAACATAGGATTGATAATTGAGACTTTTATAAAATGTCCATCATATTCCCACTGTTATTAAAGATGAGCCAACATGGATTACTTATATGGCCTAGTTTGTACGTATATCAGAACTATTTGCTAATTCTCATATCCCTTACTTTATGTGTCAGACAGTTTATTTTTATGGTTGTGGACTGCTTGGCTGTTGGATGGGATTGTGGTGCAGAAATATGGCCACAATGGGAATTGTAATCATATGCATTGACTATATTTTATACACTATATTTTTGCATTTTTCACTTTGTGATTGTCTGATGTTTCCACATGTTATGATGTCCGGCACGGACTAGTTGGGGCAATTGGCCTGTTTTTGTGTCATATCACTCTATGTAATCATATCGATCCATACAAGCATAACAGAATTTTCACCAGGGAGGAAGCAAAGACCACAAAGGATAGCATCGAAAAAACAGCACCAGTTTGTCAATACCTTCAGACTGGCATCAAAGTGCGTGCCGTAAGAGTTACAGTGCAAAGAGAAAGTATAACAGGTAAAAGATATCTATACTAGTAAAGACGAAGTGTCTGTGTGTGTGTGTGTGTTTCCGCCAATAACGCAATAACCGATTGACGTAGAGACATGATTTATATCTCATGGGAAAGGTCTTCCATGCAAGAGTGTCATGGGCATTTTTCTGTTGGGGATCTCCTATCGTTGATGAGCTATATATAAAATGCTTTAATTAAGCCCCAAAATATGAGGCATGCATGGTATTCTGCAACAAAGTAATGACAGAGGAAAGCACACACCCTTCTAAGGAGATGCATCTATACTAATATATTCTGCAACAAATGTATGGCAGTTTTTTTGGGTTGTCATGAGAGCTACACTCCTCCCAACCAGGATTCCTCCCACTGAGACCTACCAATAGGAGTCCTTCCACTGAGTCTTCCCACTCAGTCCTCCCAACAGGAGTCCTCCCACAGGAGTCCTCCCAATAGTCCATTTTCTCAATCTTAAAGGAAGATGGCTAAGAAGCGAAGTTCAAAACTTTCAAGGATGAATAATAATACAAGACAAAAGAGATAAGGCCGATTAAATGAAACTGAAGAACAAAGAACACCATGGCTGGACTTCAATGCTGAAAGGAGTACAAGAACAAAGCAAAATGAGTTGCCCGCTCAAAGAACAGCACACATATGAAATGTCTGTCTGTGTGTGTGTAAATCTACATTCCATATTGGATTCTTTGGTTACGAGCAAAGCTGCAACCAGTACAGCTAGTTAATGATAAAATAATAAAGCAAATGTGTAATAATAATAATAATAATAATAATCCTTGCATTTGATATAGCGCTTTTCACGTCGGGAGGACGTCCCAAAGCGCTTCACAGAACACACTGTAAAGTGAATTGACTGTAATTACAAAGTTGTAGATGGTGCTCTGAGTTTTGAAGACATTTTTGGTGAACATTCCGCAATTTGGTGTAATTATTATGCCCCTACCCTCCAGTTTTCTGCCCTTCCCTTTAAAGGTGCTAATGTATTCTAGGATATAGTTCCATGGAAGTTGGGATCTCTCTATTGTTCACGTGTGAACATTGGTCTATTCTAGTCTATTTGCCATAGGATGTATTATAGCATAGAACCATACAAAAATTTGAAAAAATTCTTCCCACTTTGATTTTCAAATGAATGAATTCTGTTTGCAGTGTTTTTACTTCTGATACTTGTTTCTGTAAATGTGAAACAGGTTCCTGCACTCCACAGAGATGTGACGGAAACAGAACTACAAACTTTCAGCAGCTGTGTGGCTGCTGCCCCATTTTTAATGTTAAAGCTGCTCTGGTACAGTAAGGAGTATTGTTGTGAAGTTAAAATGTAATTCCTTACTCAGGTTTATACAAGAAAGCTTCATACAACATATAACAACAATAAAATTATATTTGTATAGTGCCTTCACATCCCAAGATGCTGGATAGTCAATGTTTTGGATCCAAGCTGGGGATCGGGATCGGGGAGGGGGAAGCGGGGTGATCGAAGCACGGTCAAAGAGGAGAGTCTTGAGATGGGTTTTGAAGGAGGCAAGGGAGGGGGTGAGGCAGAGGGACTGCGGGATGGAGTTCCAGAAGGAGGTGCAGGATGGCAGAAGGCCCACCCGCCATTGGTGGGACGTGCGAGGCGGGGGACGTGGAGCAGGCCGGAGCCCACTGTGCGGATGGAGCGGGCAGGATGGTAGCAGGTTAGGAGGTCACAGAGGTAGCAAAGCCCTCCATGGAGCAAGACCATGGAGGGCTTTGAAGGTGAGGACCAGGATCTTCAACTGTATCCTCTGAGTGATGGGAAGCTCATGGAGTCGGGCGATGATGGGGGTGATAGCGTCACGGAGCCTGGTGTGGGAGAGGACACGGGCTGGATGATCTGGAGCCTATGAAGGGAGGAGTTGGGGAGGCAGACAAGCAAGGAGTTTACATAGTCAAGCCTCAATGTAATGAATGCGTGTATGTGGGTCTCGGCAGCCTGCGGTGTGAGACAGTGGCGGAGCTGAGCGCTGTTGCAGAGGTGGGGAAAGGCAGAGCTGATCATGGCACAGATGTGGGGTAGAAAGGATAGTTGAAGGTCAAACAAGATGTCAAGGTTCTGGACTGGCTTAGTAAAGTGGAGTGTGCAACCATGGATGGCAATGCTGTCAGCGCCTGAGGTGAGGAGGCGCTGATGGGAGCCAATCAGGAGAGCCTCGGTCTTGTTGATGCTCAACTGAAGAAAGTTAGCTCTCATGGAGGCTTTGATGTCTGACAGACATTCTGTCAGGACAGCAGTGGTCCTGGAGTCGAGGGTGGAGGTAGAAAGGTACAGATGGGCGTCATCCACATACATGTGGAAGTTGATCCCGTGTCTGCGGATGATGTCACCAAGAAGGAGCATATAGATGTTGAAGAGCAGGGGACCAAGGACAGAGCCCTGAGGAACACCGTACAAGACGGTGTGGGGGCTAGAGGAGAAACCGTTTGTGGAGATGAAGTGGAGGCGGTGTGCGAGGTACGATCTGAACCAATCAAGGACAAGCCGTGAAGGTTGAAGTGAGAAGAGAGGTGGTGGATGAGGATAGAGTGGTCAACAGTGTCGAAGGCAGCAGAGAGGTCAAGGAGGATGAGGAGGCAGAGGGAGCCCTGGTCGCGGATGGACAGAATATAATTTGTCACTTTGACCAGGACTGTTTCTGTGCTGTGGACGGCACGGAAACCCGATTGGAGTGGTTCATGAAAAGAGTGGCGGGAGAGGAAGGAGCAAAGCTGGGAAGCAACAACTCGTTCCAGGACCTTGGAGAGGAAAGGGAGGTTGGAGATGGGGCGTTAGTTTGAGAACTTCATCTAAGCTGTTACTTTATGCTTATTGTGGAACATTTTCCTCTAGGTTCTAAGTGATGGCATTAAGCACTCTCAGGTCAGTTACAGCATTTTAATTGTTTAGAAACGTATCATTTTAATTGTTTTGAGAGGCTAAAATAATATGAACCACAAAATGTTTATCCCTATATTTCTCTCTTTTTGTGATTGCAGCTTATTCCTTCTTCTCCAAAGAATCAAGAATTGGATCACCAAAATGCTTATATAAATTTTGTGCAAAATCTAATCGTGGAGGAATATGTTCACTAACAAAGCCACAAGGGGATTAATTATTTTACAGCAGACCTCAGCACATGAGGTGGCAGAGAGATGGATTACGCAAATGATATATCACAGGAGCTGCAGCACTGGCTAGCCAATCATAGCAAGGATTTGTTTCAGAGGTAATGTGATAACCAGCAAGAATGTAACATTGGGGGAAATAATTGACAATGGATTTAACAGACACTCTCATGTGGCATCACAAAATAGTTTATATTTGATATATACTCTGTGTATATATTTTAGTTTGGTGGTTTAATTGATTAATAATATGAGAAATATTAGCACAATTAACTTGATAAATTGTTACTCCATTAAATAATACCCAGTATAAGATATGCAAGAATATGGGTACTTAGCGTATTGACCATATTGTGGATGTATCAAAGGTAAAGTAGCCATCTACTGCAGTTCCAATTTCAGTAGCCTAAAATGTTGCTGCAGTTAAACATTCACGTCATGGCTGTTTTGGGAACATTGCTGAGTACAAATTGGCTGCCATGTTCACCTACAAATTATAGTCATTCAAGCTTTGAGACGTCCCCTTGATGTGAGAGGCTCTATATCAAATATAAGTAGTATTATTATTTTAATTGTTGTACAGAGCAGAAATAAACAATAATCCTTGTATTTGATGCAGCATCTTTTATAGGGTGCCTCAAAGCACTTCACAGGATTTACTGTTAGGTGTAGTGTATTTTGTGGGCAAAGGTAAAGCATAGTTAATATGTATGTTTTATATATGAGAAAAAGCAACATACTAGATGTTACAATATCATGTTAGTAATTAAAATGTAATAAAATTTGTGGTGCAAATATTTTGGTTTGCAACGAGTCTTGCATGTGTAACTCATAGAATATATTAACCTTGTGTTCTACCAAAAGAGTCTGGCTCTATAGGGCAGATATTGTTCCTCAAGCTTGTAGAATCCTTGATGAAGAAATATGGTGGGAAACTAATTATGCAGTAATTACAATACTTACACAGTGTCTGAAATGTCATTGGGCTATATTCAATGTGCAGGTTTTGAATTTCATAGATAGTGCATTCGGGTCAAACTAAGACCTTAGAAAAAGCCACCAGAAATTACTGACATACAAGCAGACCTAAGTCTTGTGTTTCAGTTTTTCTTAGGATGATCAGTAGTCAGCCACGACCAGTTTGATCTGGTTTTCTTTAGATCTTTCAAACTGAAAATAATGGTGTTTTCATTCAAGTGAACTGCTTTGTGTTATTCCCGCGAATTATGCCTTTTTCATATAAAGAAAATGTTGCGCTACAACTGAACTATTTTTGCAAATTCACTGTTCATCAGAAGAAT